AGGTAAACCTAATGAATTGGCTGGTGGGTCATTAATTAGTTCATTTATTCTGTCACTTTATAGAGACCAGCTTTTCATCATAATTAGCTGATATTTCACTAGTTTATCCAACCTGTTATCTGATAACTTTAACAGTCGTTCATGGATTCCCTTTAAAGGACAATGGCTACTATCAGTCTATTATTTCTTCATGCTTCTTGTAACCCTTATTGAGACATGATGGCTGCATCACGGAAAGGCAGCTTTCATCACGACTGTACTGGACGTTCATTCGGGCATTTTTGTGGTTAAAATGTGTGACGTCCACATTTTCTGAAACAAATGCACCTGATGAGCTTTGCTTTGTGGTGGCTTTGAATGTTATCTCCTTCTACATATGAACACTGAAGGGTTTTTTTATTTGTTGGGAGAACAACAGAGTCAGCTTAAAGCCTGAGACTAAAAATCCAGATAATCACATCCAATGTTAGCAGCACAATAGCCTGTTTACTAATGCAACGCTATCACCTGCAGCCAAACAATAGGTATTAATGCAACCTGATAGTGTGACTTTCATCCTCTAAACACTGACCAATACATGGAATAACCCCACTGCTCCCCCTTACATCTCCTCGAGTTACTGCACCGCTTCAAATTACACATAATGCATGGAGGGGCTGCATGAATGGGGAAAGTTTGAGTTCAAAAGGATGAAGTCTGGTCTTTGTGCTGGGACTTATTTGGATGTTGACTTCTTGAAGTATGCACAGGAGTGATTCATACAAGAACAAGATGTCAAAGAGAAAGCAGCATGAGTAGATTAAAATAACAGCATAGTTTGGTTGCATGGAATAAGACTTCTTCATTGAAGGCACTGGCGTGAGATTGTATCTCAGACATCTGTAGCGAAATCCAAGTAAAATCCTGAGGATTAACTGCTGAGCTTTTGCTTTGATAGCACACAAAGACAGATCTGTCAGTCTTCTCTTACCTGCCTGACATTTCTGGGCCTGTCCTTGACCGGGCAGCTTTGCCAAATCGCACTCTGTCTGACCTCTGTGTCTGATGAGAGGCAGCTCTGGCTCGCAGTTTGCTTTGTGTTGCAGCCAGAAGTTAACTTTAGCCTCGTTCACACAGAAAAGGACACGGTCCAACTCCTGACTGGAGCTACTAAAGATCAGGAAGACCCAGCGCAGCAGCCCGACACTAAACCTCAGCCTGTGTATCCAACCTGCATATGCTAAGTGCTTTTCTAACATCACTATCACTGCTGTGAATCCTCTGGCAGGTCCTTTCTAAGGAACACTGCGAAATCCCCAGGAGACGCGACGTGTTTATCAGCTACGCCGACACAACCTGACGTTTTCCAGGGTGATCTAAAAGCCCTCTGCTGTGTGACCTTGCTGAACTAAAAACACGCTCTGTGTTGCGTCTCCTGCACAGCTGGAGAAGCTGGAGGTGAACTCAGCAAAGATTTACACCGGTGTGGAAGCACCG